TATGACGTCAAATCCTGAATGAGATTTTTTGAAGAGTTTTCCTCGCCAGATATGATATGAGGAATGGAACACCGTTTAGAAGACATTGATTTTGCATAGTAACACAGGGAGAAATTCGGAACTCTCTCTCACCACTCTCACACCACACACTCACCAATAAAATTGTGCTATAGATATGTATGATAAATGAGTATTTTATTTTAAAACGATAGATATTTGTAATTGATTCATCTAGAAATTTTATTTCAACGACATTCTTAAAACAGCGGAATTTTCCAAAGAATAAGAATCACAGGGGTGTATAGTTTCACATTATTGAAAAAGCCGCCCGGCGTCGGATACCACATAACTATCGTGGCGAATAACATTAACAAGTTGACTTTGGTTAAACTAGTTTACAACCGTGTTAAACGAAAGGCTAAAAAAGTGGTCAGTAGACAATGAACGTTCTAACAGATGCGCAGTTTGGCTTTAGATCTGGACACAGCACCACTGATGCTTTGTTCATTTTCTCAGTCTCTAATTAATATGATACAATACTAAAAACAAGCGTTTATATGCAGCTTTTATAGACTACCAAAAAGCATATGATAGCATTTATAGAAATGGCCTATGGTATAAACTCATCAAAGAAGGAATTTAGTGGGAAATGCTCACATTATGAGATTCAATGTATGAAGGAAAAGTACAATCATGTGTCAAACATATGAACTCATTGTCTGAATTTCCTCCCTCTGTGACATGGACTTTTCAAGGGGAGATAACTGTCGCCGATTTTATTGTCTCATTTTTCCTTAATGACCTCCTAGAAATCCATTTACAATCAAATATTTCCTCAGGTGTAAACTTAGATCACGTATGAATTTACCTTATTTTATTTGCTGATGATTGTATTTTGTTAAGTGATACGCCAGAAGGCATTGCAATCGCAATGACTATTGTAGGCGTTTGGAAATAACGGCTAAATACGAACAAAACGAAAATCGTGGTATTTAAAAAGAGAGGACAATTGCCATTCAACTTACACTACTTACTCTCTGGAATGATATAGAGATTTGTTGACAAGTTAATTTATACTAGGATTTGTAGTTTCTCAGTAATGGACTATTTCAAACTTGGTATAGACACTCTGGTCTGGCAAAAGCATTGAAAGCCTGTAAAACTTCCTTGCATACGATAACACTATTGGAAATAACCGTGTTGAAAATTAAATCTATATTATTTAGAACGCAATGTGACATCTATATATGTTATATAGAGTGAGATATGGGATTTAATAAATATGAGTGCGAATGATATATATAGGTGTGAGAGACTTCATATGTATATACAGTGTGCGCGTCAAGCAGAGACTGTCACACTCGTTATATATATTCAACTTGCTAATGTATATGCTGTTTATGTTGAAACAGGGCCGATTTCCATTGCACTGTAAACTGGAAAATCCGTATTGTAATATACTGGTTGAAAATAGTAAAAAGTGAAAAATTGTATTTTAGAGAAACATATATAAGAAACTGTTGTTTTGATTGTGAAAATGGTGAAAAAAATTGGTTATAAAATGTTAAAATGTTACTGACTCAATTAGGGTTAGCTGAAGTTTGGCTATTTCCAACATCTGTTAATATGAATGTATTTTTACACGTACTGAAAAGCTAGACTGATTGACAATTTTATTACAGAATGTAGAATTCGAATGGATAATAGCCCAAGTTTGAACTTGTTTATGAGAATGAAAAGAGGGTCTACAAGTTATCTGTGTACTTATGAAAATAAATAATTTCAAACACAGACAAATAATATCAAAAATAAGAATGTCGTCGCATTGTCTTAATATCGAATATGGAAGACACAGGAATATTGAGAGACAAAAATAGACTATGTGAATTGTCGTTGTGATAAGCTAACAATTGAGGATGAATTTCATTTTGTACTAGAATGTAACATATTTAAAGATTTACGTATGAAATTTATTCCAAAATATTATAGGCAGAGACCTAGTATGATGAAATTTGTTGAACTTATGAAAACAGAGAACAAACGTTTACTTCATAACATCGCATTATATTTGTTAAAGGCATTTAACAAACGGTAAGAGTTACTTAACCGTGTTTAAAATACAACACTCTCGTAAATATGATATGATAAAATGTGTATTTATATAAGAATATTATTGCCATGTACATGTATGTATATATTTTTGCATATGTCTATATGCTGTACCATGCATACGACTAAATAAACCTTCTGTTCTGTTCTGTTCTGTACTATTCACCGTAAAATAACGCTGAACGTGGGATGGGGGTATTGACCACTTTGAAGAGGAAAAAGGGTCGATATATATTTTAAAGATTAATAGAAATAAAATTAGCGCATACGGCTGTAAGGACCCGCATAACATATCTTCCAGATTATTTGAGAGAAAAACGAACTGGCTACTGTTTTGGCGTTGAAGTTTGTGTTTCGCTGATATTAATGAGTGCAACAACGCACATTTGGCCTTTCTTTATACTTTGCTTTTCGGTATACCTAACACATTTGCCGAACTATATAGATTCATAAGATACTAGTTTTCGGTATTTCTTTCCACAACTATGTCTGATTTTGCACAATCCTGCATTATTTTATCAATTCTGCATTATGGGATATATACGACGATTATATTATCGGTGCATATCGAATCTATCAAAGTCGACTTCTGCATCTTTCTTTCCCAAAATATTACTTGCAGTGAGAGTATAGTTCATCTTAAGTACAAGACCGTTTTTCCCAGTTATTTTTACATTACAAAATTTGGATTTTGTGTACCAGTACCAAGAATACGACTTGCGCTTCCATTCTAGACCGCGTGGTTACAGATTAAGAATACACGGAAAGAAAATTCTTCCAAACACGGATGAAATTCTAAGAACATTTAAAATCAGTCATCATAAAAAAACAACAACAATAAAACACAACTTACATAACGGTGTGACTACATGTATTACTAATATGTATTCATAGAACCCCGTCTTTTACTTTCCTTTGAAAAAAAATCGTATATTTTAATTATATTAGAAATAGCCTGATCATCTATTTACCATGAAATTTATTATATATAAAAATAAAGTGTTCCGTTTTTATGATTAAAAAGCATTTTCATCATCTATTTGTTTATATTATTAATATGTTATATATTCATATATCAAAATAATGATCTTACCTTTCCCTACTCGACAAGTTCTGTTTTCATTTTCTGTGACTCAACTCAACAAGTACATTATAATTACCTAATGAAACCCCACGAAAATCACGAGAATATTAAGATATAACCTGATTTGTGAACGAATGAATTACAAGAGCGTAGCGGATGGTATCTTTGCTTGGCTTTGGAATGCTTTCTTAAACATGATAAAGTATATAAGTAGTATGTTTCTTGTGAGTAATATTAATAAATATTGAGCTCAATACTGATGTATCGATAGAAAAAAAAGAGCATGTAGGTAAGATAGTTACCGCACTCGGAATAGGTCTGCATAGTATTTACAGACCCGGTGGCCTTTTAAAAACCTCGATCGCTACGCTCTCTCGGTCTTCAAATCGCCACCCGGGTCTGTAAATACTATGCAGACCTTTTCCTCGTACGGTGACTATTACATAATGATCTTACCTACTCGACCCTACTCGACAAGTTCTGTTTTCATTTTCTGTGACTCAACTCAACAAGTACATTACCTGACCTTATTACATAATAAAACTTCACGAAAATCACGAGAATATTCAAATAACACCTTATTTGTGAACGAATGAATTACAAGAGCGTAGCGGATGGTATCTTTGCTTGACTTTGGAATGCTTCGTTAAACATGATAAAGTACATAAATAATATATTACTTGTGAGTAATATTAATAAATGCTGAGTTAAAAACTGATGTATGGATAGAAAAAAAAGAGCATGTAGGTAAGATAGTTACCGCACTCGGAATAGGTCTGCATAATATTTACAGACCAAGTGGCCTTTTAAAAACCTCGATTGCTACGCTCTCTCGGTCTTCAAATCGCCATCCGGGTCTGTAAATACTCCTCGTACAGTACTTATTACTTATTCTATTTATTTTAAACTTACACGTGGCGATCATGTAAGATGACAAGGTGATCATCTAGATGTACATGTACTCTTTATTTTTGAACAGATATGAAGAGATCACGTTAGATGTAGCTAGTAAGATGACCAGCGAACCTTCTAGATGTACATAAACTCTGTTTATAATGGACATATATGAAGGAATCACTTAAAATGACCAAATGGTCATAAAAATGTTTCTATAGAACATTTATGGGGGCGGGGGTCACATAAGTTGATTAGGGTACATATTCTTTATTTCTGTTCAAACATGTACGAATATACGAAAGTTAAATATGAAGTTAAAATCGTGAATTCCTGAAGTTAAAATCGTGAATTCATGAAGATGAAATAGTGAATTCGTGAAGTTAAAATCGTGAATTCACGAGATTGAATTCGTGAAGTTGAAATCGTGAATTCGTGAAGTTGACATCGGTAATTCATGAAGTTTAAATGCCCCCACCGGTCTTTCATACTATAAGAGTCACACTGCTTCTGTCGTACGTCTATAATGTCGTCAACTTTATTAAAAACAACATCTCTTCCTCTCCAAAAGGCTAGTATTGTTAAAACTGAGCAACCCTCGAGCTAAATAATCCAGTCCGTACCGGCAGCCAGTGTAAGATTCTTAAACGACTTTACAGCAGCAGTATCATTTTTTGCTTAAAAGTTTTTACTTAACAGTAAATCAAATATCTCCAGAACAGTACTCTCTGCAACAACAAAATGTCCCGCCTCTTAAGAGGTTGAACTATTGAAACATTATTTTTTCTAGTATTCGGCACTTTTTTATACTTCCATACATTGCTCAAAAAGGGAGATAATGCTATTCGGTAGTTTTACAGTAACAAAATTTATGTTTATTTAGACGTCAACCTTTAAACGTCCTTTTTTCCAGAAAAATGGCTTACAATACAGTAATCTTCGTTCTAATTGCATCTTTGGTTCTGCAGCCAACCAATGGTACGTACTGACTATTCTTTATTCGTAAATGTGCTTTATGCGCTAATTTTCTAATTATTTTTTAATATTTTAGTATTCACTTGCAAGTTAACAAATGTTTCTCATGTTCCAAGTAAAAGGCTTCTAAAATGTACGCTTGAATTTGAATTTTTCAGTAATAAAACAGACCTGAGTTGCAGCTATTTTAATTGTATACAAAATTAATGATAGTTCGCATTTCATCAGTCAAACAAAATTATTTATCTTATTTGTCACAATTCGTTATTGTAATAACAGGATATCTATACACCATCGCGGCCGGGGTTGCGACTGCAGTTGTTGCCCCCATTGCAATCCCTGCAGCGCTTGGAGCAGCCGGGTTTACTGCAACTGGTATTGCCGCCGGAAGTGTTGCTTCTTCTATCATGGCGTCATATGGAGGAACTATTGCGGCCGGGTCAGCGGTGTCAGTCGCCCAGTCAGTTGGTGCAGCAGGACTTGGTATGGCTGGACAAGCAGTAGCGGGAGCTGTTGGAGCGGCGGCTGGAGCTCTATATGAGAAGTCGAAATGTGAAAACGGCTAATTGTTATATATCTTCATCATGGAAGTCGAAGCGGAAAGACAATTTATAATAAATACCAATGAAAATGATTATCTAATATTAAACTTCTTCAAACTTACATGTATAAATTTAAACTGACATAATACTACAAATGTACTTAAGATAAAGAAAACGGTCATGTAATAATATTACTTCACTAAAATAAATTTCTTATATCTTTTGTCTTATTTCTATTATTTGTTTGAATACGCACAACAATGGAAGCCCTGGAGGGACATTTGAAATTAATATTTAAAACTTAAAACTTATTATTTAATTCTTAATATTTAAAAAAATTTAATTCTTAATATTTAAAAATCAATTCTTAATACTTAAAAATTAAGAACAGAATACATAAGACGCGGGTATTTGAATTCAACGGTCTCTTGCAAAAGGTTGCTACACGAAAAAAAAAAATGGCAAAATTCGATAAAGCTGCTTAACAGGTAAATGCCATTTTTTATTATATATATACAATAAACATTACCCGAGAGATATTATATCTCGATTGTTAATATTTTTCATGCTAACAGTTGAAACCATTAAGATATGTTAAGTTTATCATGGTGCTCAGGAGACTACATGGTGTCAAAAGCAGCAGTTGAGAAAGTTTGTCAATACATTTTGTTCTGGGGTTGAAAGCTTATAAAAACTGACAGAAAATATACCTGCTTGTCAGGGGTTAGGGGTTTGGTCTAACGATTTAATGTTTAGTTGTTGGTGGGTGGATAACAAATTTACATGTTTATGCCCCAGCCCTTTTGTTTTTATAACGCTATATTTCAATTCATTTATATTTCTTTTAAGGTCGTAAACATGGAGATCCCGTTGCTGTTGCCTTTATCTTTTTATTGAAAGTGGACTCAGGACTGTGTCAAACAGATGTGTCATCCCTATTTCCATCTGGAAACGGAAGCACCAGTTAGAAGTGATACGCAAGTACTTTCATGTTGACTTCAAAGGTACGCACCAAATTGTTTTACCACAACATACGTCTTGGTCTCCGTCAGTTTTTTAAAGGGGATACTTCGTTATAATTATTAACGGGCGTCACCGTCACAGTCATGTATACTCAAAAAAAAAAGGAAAAGAATTTGTAGTTTTTAGAGGGGAGGGGCTTATGGTACAAAGGTGGATTGAATACGTTTGAAGGAATTTGAGAGGCTCGTGGACTGAATTGATACGTCAAACCCTATTCATGCAAAATGCTTGCGCATTTTATTTAGCGGATGTTCTTCAAGCGGGATTTTATAAGCATTGTATTCACTGGAAATTACACAATGTGCGACCACAGAAACATGTAGACATGTGCAACTTTGTATTGAAGACCATAAATAAAGTGTTGTTAAGTGTACTAGAACTATCAGGTTCTACTGATTATGGTGTTAATGTTGATTTAATAGGATATTGAATATGAACAAATCCAGATGATTGAACATTAGACAATGGCATATATACTGTTTAATGAATAAACATTGATGTTCATAGTTTTCCGAAGTATGTGCTTTTTATGTTTAACTGCTAGTTAATATTTCTATGGCCGATCTCGAGTTCGCTTTACTTATTATTAGAACAGGGTCATTAAACAAATGGAAAAAAAAAATAAAATAGAACTTAACCGAGAACTTCTCTTGAAACATTCTGATTTACATTGAGATTGCATAAAATCTTGACTTAAATAAACAATTGCTAGAAATCTAATTAAAGTATGTAGGAAATTAGAAAAAAAACCATAATGATTTTTGTAAGGTAGTCCTAAGAATTTCCAAAACTGTTTCTCCATGGGATCAAAATTTTAGGCTTTTAAAAACCCAAAAAGCAAAGTTTCACTTTGACCTTCCAATAAGACCTATGATAAAGTTACAAGTTTTCCCAAGATGAGAAAAAACATTGTAAGTGTTCACAAAAATGTTTTTCTTTGTATTGACCTATTTTTACCCCCATAATGAACCCAGATTCAAACTCGAACCTAAAGATTATCCAGACAAATATTCTCAAAAACTTTTAAGTTGTTTCAAGTTGAAAATACTTATTTAAAGTGTTCTCTATGTTTTTTCCTTGATTTAAAGCTTGGTGGACCTAGTTTATGACCCCCAGATAACCCAGAATAAAAATTGACCTAGAAAATCAATTAGATAAACATTTTGAACAATGTTGATGAAGATGGGATACAAAATGTGAACCTGTAATGTTTGTTCATTAAGGGATATGTTTGAGAAACACACCGGACAGACGACACCACAGTGGACAATGACAGTAGCTAACCTTTAAGCCTGAGCCTAAAAAGGAATCAAGATATATCAGATTTTCTCTTTATTGAATTAAACACAGAGCTCTATTCATTTCTGAGCAGGTTTTCAATGCAAATAGTTAATGCATTTTAAAATAAACTGGCCAACAAACGTTTGGTATACTACTGTTTGATCCACTAAGTCTGTGACAAAGCTTTTAAACCATCTATATTTTGTTTATTTTGCGTTTATTGTAAAAAAAAACCATCTAACTCTTGTGAGCTAAAATGGCTGAAATTACAATGACAAAACCCCCAATCATTTTCGACATTTTTAAAAACAGTTGGTTAAAAAAATTATACTTTTTCTGGAAAGGGTTCCCGAATAGAAAAAAAAATTAAAAAAAAGGTTAATTTTTTCCCAATCTTGTATAACCCCTTTTATCCACGGGTTCCCCAAAAGTAAGCAAAAAAACTGTTTAAATTTAAAAGGGGAAATGCCCTTATTTTTCCCGACTTTAAGCTTTTTTAATGATTTTACATTTGCAGCCCGCAGGTAAACCTTTCATTTGCACGGGCTATTTTAAACAAATAACAAAAAAAAAGTAGGGATGATAATATTTTTTCCCTTTACTGTTTGTGTATAATACGTTATAGTGTTTTTTAAAAATTTAAAAATTACAGTCCATTAAAAAATTTAAAGGGGGAAACCCATTTGTAACAATTTTTACTTTTTTTATTACAGTGACTTATAAAAGAAAAAAAAAATTTCCAATCATACAACATAAAAAAAAAGGGGTTTTCTTCCAAAATTAAAAAAACATAGCAATTTTGGCCAGGGGATAAAAACTAAAGGGTAAAATAGGAAAAACCCCAACAAAATGATTTTTTTTCAACTAAATAAAAAAAACGTAAACTAAAAAAAACATATCCAAAAAATTCTTTGACTTTTGGAGGTCAAAAAAAAAAACCCTTTTACTTAAAAAAGTGTTTAAAAAACAAAATACTTTTAAATTACATCACACTAAATTGTCAATTTATTTTAAAATTATACGGGGGCAAACCGCTATATGTCATTGTATAAATTTTTAAAATTTGGAAACATAAAACGTTTGGGTCCCAACTCCCAAAAATAAATTTCCGTTTTTTCAACCCCTTTTTAAATAAAATTAATTTTTATTTTTTCCAAAAAAACCAAACATAACACAATTTAAAAACCAAATATTGTTTAACCCATTCAAAAAAAAATTTACTGCATAAGTTTCCTGAAAAATTAAAACGTTTCCTCTTTTTCAAAGGAAGACGTGTTCTGCCTTTTTTAAAAAACCACTTTACCCGTTTTTCAAACGGATCTTTTTCAAGAAACGGGAATCCCAGCCCTTTTTAAAGAAACCGGGCAATATTTGAGGGCAAATATTAGATTTTCTTCAGAATAAAATGAGTGCTTAATTTTGTGTACTTTTTTTAAAAGTTCTGTCCCCCTTTTTCAAAGGGGGCCCTTTTAAAATGAAACTTGTGTTCCCCTTTTTTATTCGGTAATTTTCCCGGGTAACGCATAAAAACGGTAGCTTTAAATACTCGTGAAACTCCATGGTTTTTTGGTCAAAAAGGTTAAACTGTCAACCCACTTGCCTGATGCTTGGGCCAATACAATTTCGTAGTCCCCCACACTGCATGATTTTTCCGCCGGGAAATATTTACTTGCCTTGATATATTATTTTTTTCACTCCCAACTTTCCCAAAAAAAATTAAAATACCGGGTTTATCCCCCTTTTGCTTCATTTTAAAACTCTTGAAAAATTTCCACCCGGAAATTCTCCCAAATCCAATTTCATTTTATTTTTGCATGCTTTGCCCTTTTGGGCCTTCCTTCACAGCATTTGCCTAAAATATTTAGAGCTTTTAATTAACAACCAATTTCATAACTTTTGGCCAGGGGGCTTACTTAAAACCTGAGTAAAAACTAAAACGGTCCAAAACAAAAAAAATAGAATTTTGGAAAATTCTTTTCCCTTAAATTAAGTTTTAAGCTTTTAACCCAAATATTTTTAAATTAAATCTTTGTTAAAATATTTTTGCAGTACTGTAAAAATATTATATGTAGGTTGCTGTTCAATTAATTGGTTGAAGCAATTTATTTCAGAATGAAGTATTTAAAAAATAAAAAATAAATAAAAATAAATAAAAGTTTGAAGTAGATACCTTAAAAGATAAAGAGGTTTTAATATTTCTTAAAGAAAATCCTAAGTTCAAAGAGAGATAAATCTGAAATAAAAGACTGCTAAATGTGACCTTGACCTTTGAGAATGTGTGTTGCGTGCGACACACCTTGTCATGGCGGTGAACAAATGTACCAAGTTATTTTATATTCCCCTCAGCCCAATTCTGACCTTTAACCCCTTCAATCTGGGACGGATTGTCTTTTGCAATAAATAAATAAATAAACCCTCCCAAGCCAGTCCTCACCATGAAATTAAGTGCGTGTGCGTGTCCTAATGTGATTTAAAGCAGTTTTTTCTTGTATATAAAGTCCAACTTACTTTACTTCCTTCGCACACGTTTTCCCCTGCCGTACTTCTGGGTAAAATTGCCCGGGGAAGGGTTCCCCGGTTCCATTTTAATGATAAGATTTAAAAATTTTTAAAAAAAAAAAAAAAATTTTAAATTTTTTAAAAAAAAAAATTTAAAATTTAAAATAATTTTAATTTTAAAAATTTTAAATTTTAAAATGCCCCTTTCCAGGGCTTCAACACAACGGGGAGCTCAAAGGGGGAGTTTTGGATGTTTAATGCTTTTGGGATGTAGTCTTTCCGTCTTTTAAAATTAAAAAAATTTCCCTAAACCACAAAGGGGAAATTTTCCCCAAAAACTCTAAAAAAATAAAAAAAATTTTTCTGCCCGACCGAAGGTATATAAAAAAAAGCTAAAAGTAACTTAAAAAATGAAATTTTTTAAGTTTCCCCAAAAATCAGGGATGTACCCCCAAAATTTGGAAAGTCCTTTTTAAAAGTTATATAAATCCTTCCCCTCAGGCGCGGGGGGAAAATCAATTCTGTTCCAAGGGTAACCAGTTTATGTAGACTTGCATAGAAAATGCATAGAAGTCTTTTTGTGTGAAACGACTCTGCCAAAAGCTTAGATATATGGTATTTAGTTCTGCCATTAGGACGTCATCAAAATGCATTGAAGTTGCAGCCTCATGTTCAGACTACTATCAAACTAAATTCTGAGTGTGTACGTTGACATTTTCTAGAATCTAGACTGTATGTGTACGTTGACATTTCTGTAGGTTGGTCATTCTTAAATAAATACAAAAAATGACAGCCGGAAACCAGTTCATTTTGCAAAACATTCTCTTATATATTTTAAGACCTGAAATTTTACCTAGAACTGACATGCGTATCGTTTATTAAGTTTTCATCAACACTTTTACACAATAGTGTGCACGTTGTCATCTACAATTTGTAAATATTGTTTGAATGTTCTCATAAAATACAAAACGTTAGACGAAACTAAATACATTTTTAAGAAGCATCGGAACTGCCGCGGTCAGTAGGCTATGTAGCATAACTTAAGACGGCTGGACAGAAAAATAATCACTAAAAACATTCCTAAGCCGAGCTATTTTGGCTGTGTACGTTGATTTTTGTGGTCACATGACCAAAGTAATAATAATAATAATGATAATATCTTTATTTAAAGAAGGTTACACATTAAGAACATACAATAACAATCATATATATCTTATTTCCAAAGTGGCCTTCTGAAATAGAAAACAACAACAACAACAGGAAATGCCTAGGTAGAAAAATGAATGTATAATATGTAATTTTTAGAATAATACAACTCATATACTTTCGACAGGCACTCTAGGTCACGGAAAGATATTGTATTATGGACAAGACCTAAAACAAATTATATTAAAGACACATTTTCTTATTATGGCATGAATATTTGGAACAATATACCTTTAGATATTCGTAATGTTAGTAACCTTAAATGTTTTAAAGAAAAATACAAAGCATATCTTGATGTTCATATGAATGAATGAGTGAGTGAATGAATGAATGAATAAATATATGGACGAACGAATGAACGAACGAACGAATGATGCAATATACATATATGTTTAAACAATATGTTCCTATTACCATACATTTTGATTTATCTGGATTTAAGGCCATATTATTTATTTTGCACCATTTGTCAATGTTATTTAAATGATCTTGAAGTTTTATTTCTACTTTTGATATATTTTCTCCGGACTCATAAGTGTAGAATCGTCTGCGTATACATCAATTTTCATATCATTACCAATGAAAGCTATGTCATTTATGTATATTAGAAATAATAAAGGTCCTAATATTGAGCCTTGTGGAACACCGGAAATTATTTTCATTGTCTGAGATTGTAGATTACCTATCTTAACCAGTTGTATTCTGTTAGAAAGATATGACATAAAAAACTTAACGGCATTTTCAGAAAAATGATAAAGTTTAAGTTTATGCAAAAGTATTTCATGGTCAACCAAATCAAAGGCTTTCTTTAAGTCTAAGATAATAATACAGTCCCGATAATTTTTCCACTGTCAACAGTTGCTTACCCACGGTGAACATCGCAATGTGCAATGCATTTAAAATATCACTTGTTTACAGAAACCTTAACTCGAAATCGAAACAAGTTAAGAAAAACATGTATAGGTACATATTTGACGAAATCTCAATAATTCAACAACATTTTATAGTCATTTTCTATAGCAAAGTGAATAATACGCCAAAAATGATCTAACGGTCGTAATGCAGGTAAGGCTATGAATGTAGTTATTCCGCAAGTATCTATAACCGAGTTCCAAAAACAGAACATATTCTTTTCGTTCACCGCACAAAAACACATTAGGTGGATGATAATATCACAAAACAACTTACACTTGTTGCACTTGACAACAAAAGATGGAGCAAGAATTCTGGTCGTATCGAAGTTAATCTATCAACTCGTTTTGTCCTTGCTGTACGTAGTACCTACACTATTCTGAAGTGTCAATTTCCAAGAATATTTGGACGGAAAATGTCCAGATCCAAAGTATGAGTTTCATGTTTCCTCAAGACCGTATTTGTTCAATAATCTGAATATATCGGGTATGAATCCTGTGCTCCGTTTGTCAACATGTAAATAGCGCACCAGTCTATGAACAAACATATTTTTGCTAGGTATTTTCCCGGTAAGCGACACAACTGCCATTTCCGGCAGTCCATGATAGTCTCTACATTGTTCATGTTTAATGCGCTTAAAGCGAAGTCCGTCGCAATATTTGCATGTACTTTACACAAAATCTATGATATATTGCTAGTTTCCGTATGTCTGTTAGAGAGTATTTGTTCCATAATTCGCAGCCGTATCACAATTGAGGAATAGATTGATCGGGATGTTATCGGATTAAGAAACCGAGTGTAAATGCCACTATTACTATGATAAAAGGGTTTCTCTCAATTAATTACCTGCTTCAGTTAGGGGTTTCTTTGTTGATGAATACTTGTCACATGCAAGACCTAAATGAGTGTATAATTCTGTTTCTTTTATGATCTCTTTACCTAGTTGTTGAGTTCGGTGATACCTTTTCATTAAACACAATAACTCCACACTTATCAGCCTTATACCTGTACCTCCACTGTCGGGAATAAGTATCACAAATCTCAAGTACCATGCCTGGCTTCGAAAAGGAGACAAGGACCGTATCATCAGCAACAGTAGGAGAGCAAATATTCATGTTATACATATAGAATCCATATCTTGACTCTTCTAGCGGATTTCCGGATTTCTGGTGTTTTCATTGGTGGATTTCGAATATCGAACCTTATAAAACTCGGAATCCAACAAATGTTGTCACACTTGGGTGCCTCCGTGGCCGATTGGTTAAGGTCGCTGATGGAGATCACAGGTCCTTCACCGCTGTAGGTTCGATCCTCACTAGGGTCGAAATCTTTCATGTGAGAAAGCCTTCCAGCTGGCTTACGGAAAGTCGGTGGTTCTACCCAGGTGCCCGCTCGTGCCTGAAATAATGACCGGAGGGGCACCTGGGGTCTTCCTCTACCAATAAAAGCTGGAAAAAACGACAAAAAAATCTGAGAGGGACGCTCTAGGATGGCCCGACTTGAGTGTCCGGTCGCCCATATGGGCTTTCGGCGGCGACCTCAAATAAACGCATTATTAAAAAAATACTGTCACATCGGTTTTGACCTCCAAGTAGTGTACATAAAGTTTTAAAACTTCAATAAACATCTTAAAACGTCTCTGGTATTCAAACTTGTGTGTTGGTATGTATCAAAATCCAATATTATTAACTCACTAGACACTGTTGTTGCCGAAAAACGTGCAAAAGATTTGTATTTATTTTTCCCATTACAATACTGTGGAAGAAAGTAAATCGTACAGATTAAGATTATATATGTCAGACGTACTCATTAGAATAAAGAATGTGCGGTGACAAACTAGAGGCCGTTCTGTAAAACAAATAAAAATATGATATGAAGATAATTTTTGAAATTGTGACTCTAAGACGTTGTGTGTTTATCATTCCACTGAACAAAAATCCATGGCCTCAAATTTGTTCACAATGATATTATCCATTTGGTAAAAAACAGAACCGCTATATTGTTTTATATAGGGTCAATTTTCTTTTCTTCCCTGTTTTCTTTGTCTGCAATATAGAGAACGTTGTTTCCTATTACTGACGTGTTATTAGAAAAATAAAATATTTTATCTTGAAATGATCTCAAGTTTTACCGTATTTATACTAGAATTTGGTAGAAAGGCATTGGTGACACAATTAAATCTGCATCCCTCATAACCCAATCTATATATACACAGTATACCATGGCAAAAAGGATTCGCGCTAAATGTATTAATTTATAAAAATCACAAGTTTGTTATAAACTAAATGGCCATATTTCCGGCATTATAATTAACCTCATCAAACATTTAAAGTCTGTCAGTCATAGAGCGGAAGTCAGTCTTTAAAGTGTATATGCTGATTTATTATCGAATTTCCTGGCAAGGAGGACATTCTTCACCGAACATATCTCGGGCGCAAATATTGAGGATGTTATGTCTAAAAGGTAAGATAAAATTATTTTGTTCTTATTAATCAGCGATGTTTATCGCCGGTTTATTTCGATTTGTAGGAACTGACCACGAAGGCCAGAGATAAATTGGTTTATATAGAATTTAGTTTAGTTCGATTGTGTTGGAAGGTTTAAGCTGATCGACACACTTTTGAATCCGTTTCTGGAACCAACCAGTATTGAGCTATGATTGTAATGTTTCTTGGTCAAGGAAACAACGCAGCAGCTGGTCACGGGGTTTGAACCCCGCGTCTGCATACGGCTGCGAAGACAAAACTCTTCATCCCACATTAAGATTATTTCCGCGAAATTCTTTACTTTTCAAAATCATTCGTGAAAATGATGGCTTGACCACCGTTTTGAGCGAGATTTTGACTTTTATAAGTGCAACAATGCATATTATTCCGTACAGTAGTAAAGTGACATAAACTTAAGTTCTTGTGATACAAAAAAATTGAAAAGAAACTGAAAAAATGTGATTTAAGCCGTTTTTGTGTCGCCTCTACGGAGTAGTGGCGACATATAGGGATCACTTCTCCGTCGTCTGTCTGTCCGTCTGTCTGTCCGTCTGTCCGTCACAAAACTTGTCCGGACTACTCCTAATAAACTACTGGTGCAATTTCATCCAAACTTTACAGGAATGATCAGTACCAAGTCTAGTTGTGCATATTGTCAGCATTTTCCGGTTCAATGATTTTTGGAAGAGTTATTGCCCTTTAATAATTTTTAATTTTAAAGTTTGTCCGGACTACTTCTCTTATACCATTATAGCAATTTCAATGAAACTTTACAGGATTGATCTGTAGCTCAAGTCCTTGCGCATATTGCAAGGGTTTTCCGGTTGAATGATTTTTTGCCGAGTTATGGCCCTTTGATAAAAAAGTTGTATTTTTCTGTATGTTGCCAGATACACAAAAGTTTGTCCGGACTACTCCTCATAAACTACTGGTGCAATTTCATCTAAACTTTACAGGAATAATCTGTACCAGGGGTAGTTGTGCATATTATCAGCATTTTCTGGTTCAATGATTTTTGTCAAAGTTATGGCCCTTTAATAATTTTTATTTTTAAAGTTTGTCCGGACTACTTCTCTTATACTACTGAAGCAATTTCAATGAAACTTTACAGGATTGATCTGTAGCTCAAGTCCTTGCGCATATTGCAAGGGTTTTCCGGTTGAATGATTTTGGCCCTTTGATAAAAAGGTGTTTTTTCTGTGTGTTGCCAGATACGCAAAAGCTTGTCCGGACTACTCCTCATAAACTACTGGTGCAATTTTATCCAAACTTTACAGGAATGATCAGTACCAAGTCTAGTCGTGCACTGTCCGTCTGTCTGTCCGTCTGTCAAAAACTTTGTCCCAACATGAAATTGGCCATCATGAGGCGACACATGTGATTACTGATCGCTCTTGTTATGAAGTAACGCCGATGTACTTGAATTGTGCTTCGCGGTAACGCCGGAAGATGTGAATTCTTTTTCTTGTATAGTATAGAATTATTGCACAGATTAAACGCCTTTTATCGGCGTATACAATCAAGTTACCGGTATTTGCGACCTATAGTCAATGTATTTTCTTTGAAACTTATTAAGTAATATATGATAATTAGATCTTGACAAACTTTCAACATTTTGATTGCATATTGTTACTTAATACAATTTGTCAATTGTTTCCTGAAATAAAATTACTATTTGTTAACCTGCTTTCCACGTCTGATCTTGTTAGAAAATAAGTACAATAAACTTAGTTTGCAAATAAATTAGATATAAAAATAATAGAAAACTATCAAGAGAAGAAATGTCTGTGTATTCTATGCCTGAAATAATGCAACAGTAAAACTTGAAAGTCTTCATATGTCCTTTATTGTGTTGGCGTGAAGTGAAACCCAATCAAAACAAATATTTGGCTGCAGCTATTTGCCTGGTGAACTGGTAAAAATGGATTATTTATTTAATTTATTTTTCCTCTTATATAAGGAAGTAAGTATTCAAAAGATATTTTACTTAAAACCTATAATGCCCAAAGCTTGTAAAAGCATAACCTTATTGTCCTCTGCTAAAGTTAAATAAATTATAACCTTTTGGGTAAAGATTTACCCTTCTTAGGGTTTCTTTTTATCACACTGGCCATAGCTTTCGCAGAAGCGGTGGGTCTATCGCAGCGACGGTGGAGTATTCGTCGCAGAAACGGTGGATAAAATATGGCCGTTTGCTGTTGTCGGTAAGTATATGACAGAATTTTGTTTTATGTTTTAATGTTTTACTGGAAACACTCAGTGAGATTGGAGCCCGCATATGTACTCTTTCAACCTATTACAAGGACACGGTGCAATTCATTGCCGTTTATGCAAACACTTCTGTACAGTTTGATGAGGGGACGCCACTTTTGTCTAATTTTGGTTAAAACACATACAAATGTGTGCAAAACGACCCCATAATACATCGGCATCGTTTGTACAAATAGATTAAATTCTAATACCAATCTCTTAGACTTTGAATGAACTGTTCCAAGTTCAGAGTTGAGCAAATCCATTTCATAAATTTACCAGGTAACAGGTCACATAGACTTAAGATAGGTTGAATATATTTTTGTTTCTTAACTCAATGTACATCTATATGGAGAGCTACTAGAAATGTGTTTGTGGATCTATCCATGCCATGAAGGTCTGTCTAAAAATGGACCTTTTCATGTCAAAAATTAATAAAGAGTGAAAACAATGAAAAATTCTATAATCTTACAAAGCCCATTTTTATAACTACCATCTCAATAGGTATTGAAAAATTGCTATCCCGTTGCTACGCCGTTGTTTCTTTGAGTAATTTTTTTCATGCATTGCTTCGTACTCACTTCAACAAAGACTTATTGCTCTGTTGTTTCAGATTGATTCGAGACTGTGCTTTTTTTCTATGCAATCAAACTAAAATAAATTCTGTATAAAATGAATTAAAGTTTCCCCCACAAAATATTTTTGAAAAGGGCTGATACTCGCCGATTAATGGCGTTAAACATGTGTAACAGTTCAGTACCATATATGAAAAAAAATCACATTTTCCGGCGTTACCGCGAAGCACTATTCACGTACATCGGCGTTATCTCATAAAAACGACTTGAATTCCATTTATCATCTTATTTTAATTCTTTATATCACCAGAAGTTTAGGTAAATGTCACTAACCTACCTAAAATCGAAAGTATACATATATAATATGCATTGTTGTACTTATAAGAGTGGACAGAAAGGCTATATCTCGCCCAAAACGATAGTCAAGTCATCATTTTCACGAATGATCTTGAAAAAATTTCGTGGAAAAAATCTTGATGAGGAATAAAAAGTAATGTCTTTGCAGCCGTCAGGTATCCGCAATTTATTGCGCATTTCTTCGTTACTAATTGCACGAATCATGCGTTATTTTCACATTCCGGCGTTACTGGATATACACGGTGTATATGGTAAATCGTCCTATCGCTACTTCCGAGTTTGCGCATGGCGCTAAAATCAAGTGTCGGGTGTTTCTATTTTTTATATATTTTGTAAACTCTACACCAAATATCGAAATTCGGAGAATGCTATGCGATGTAGAAGTTGTTCTAATTTTGTGTGAAATGTAGTTGTGATGGTGTTCCCCAGTTAGCGAGTTCAGCGTTGAAATGGACCTTTTCATCATGAAGCAGATTATTTTTCCTCCAATTATTTTATGTTAACTGCGATTCAAATTAAAAACAAATATGTTTCAAGTAGATATAAGGTCTAGAAATGAAATAAGAATGAAATCAGATCAAAACATTAGTTAATAAAGAAAATATCGGATATTTGTTCTCGGAGACAGCTCTATCGTGAAGGGGGTAGTCATGTCGCCAAGGAGATAGCTCTATGGTTTCAAAGGGGACCAAAGAATGTAAAACATTTTGGCGAAAAAGATCTTTAGGATGTTGATACAACGCGTATCATTTTGAAGAGGAAAAAAAAACAACTATTTGACAATATCTGTTTTATAATTTATTAGAAGTTATTCCTGCTACATCATTCATGAAGTGATTTTATTTTTAATTAAAACCCCATATGAATAAAAAAGCTGTAACAAAGTGAATTTAAAACTGAGAATTTACTTTTCAAGTTACACACAAAAAACCCCCAACAAAGGGAGTATTTTACATTGAGTGAAACTTTGTATTCTAAGTTTAAACGTCAATAAACCGTTCACAGGGGGAAAAAAGAATTTATAATTCGACATTTTTGAAAAAAAAATTTTTTAAATTTTTGGGTTTTACTTGTTTTCAAAGGTTTTTTAAAGAATTTTCTTTTTTCTCTTTTTTTAAAATGCCCAGTGATTTTACATTTTAAAATTAATTTAAATTTTTTAATTTTTTTCCGCTTTTCAAACGTATTTTTTTTTCCTATAAAACACATTAAATTCCCAGTAAACGGTGTGAAAATTCCCGCAGGCTTGTGAAAAAAAGAAAGAATTTTTTCAATTTTTGGAACGGGGGAAAAAGAACAAAAAATTTGTATTGTCTAAAATTGAAAGACGTCAATTAGCGCTTTAGGTTCTACATTTTTTTAAAACCCTTTCAAAAAATCTTCCATAAAAATTTTTTTTTTCAAGTTTAATTAAAGAAAAATTCGTTTGGGATTTGGGGATATTTTTTTGTTTTAATTTTTTGTGCTTTTTTTCATTTTGGTTTGTTAATTTTTTCTTTATTTTTTTGACAAAAAACCTATCGTTTTTTTGAAACTTTCATTTTTAAAGATTACGAATGCATATATTAATTCCCTTTTAATTTTTTCCCCTTTCTAAACCATTTTTTTAATTTGCATAAGGACAGCTATTTGTTAGGTTTTTAAGAAAATTCTTTGTTTTAAATAAAACCCCCCCTTAGGTACTTTTTTAAAATCGGGCCATTTCCCTTGTCGATAAAAAAATTTGTTTTGATAAATACGGGGGAAATTTTCGACTTTTTAGAATTAAAGGCTTTTAAAAATTAAATATAAAAAT